GTCTATATACTAATATTCCCCCATTAAATACAGCTCTGGAGTCAGTTAGCAATGAAATAAAAATTGATCCTGAACTCAGAACTAGGACTAAGCTCTGCTCTCGTTGGATGAAATAATATTAGGTGTTCAGTTATGTCTAACCTCCACTATATTCAAATTTCAAAACAAAATTTATGAACAACCGAATGGGGTAGCAATGGTATCACCAATATCCCCAATAGCAGCAGACATATTTGTAGGTAGTTGGAAACATAAGGCTCTTAGAACGTATAATCCTGCTGCTGCTAGGCTATGTTGGAGATATATGGATGACACATTCCATCACTGCGTCGGAATCGGAACATATCCCTCAATTTTTCACACACATATAAACTCAGTAGTAGGCAGAACCGAATTCACTTCTGAGTTAAAAAAAGAACAGGGTGAGTTGGCCATGCTAGACTGTAGAATAAAACGAAAACAACATGGTGAGAGGTTAGATACTAGCTAGCATTTCTAGGAAACCGACGCACTCTAATACATACTTAGACTTCAATTCATCCCACCCAGAATCGGTGGTAACGATAGGTTTAATTAAATAATCGGGCCAAGAGCCTAACTAGTAAGCCGGGAGATTTAAATAACGAAATCAAACACATAAAGGTGTTACTAGTGAATAACTACCCACCAGAATTTATTCAAAACTATATGAAGTACCATAGAAAAACTAAGATTAGCAATTAAAGTGACGAAAATAATATAGATTTCAAAGCCTATGTAGTAGTACTGACGTATAAAGAAGGAACGCCAGAGACCTTACTTAGGATTCTCAATGAGGCTGGAAGTAGGTTGGCATATAAACCAAACAATCAACTATCTCAAAGATAAACTTCGTCGGCTTGAGGACCCAATAGATCCAGTTAGGAATAATAATAGAATTTACCAAATACCATGTAATGACTGTGAGGTCAAACTAGTAGATCAGAGACAACTAGATTATTGGAATGTAAAAATTCAGCCAGACGTAGAATAATTGACCCTGCTAAATTAAATAACTTAGAAAAAACAGAGCTCAGGCATTGTATAGCACTCGCTTACATGTCATAACACACACACTGTAGGGTGGGTGAGAGAGGGTGAGAGTATTAGAAAGAATTATAGTTAGGTGGAGAGACAGAGAGGTTAATCACTGACTGAAGCTTCTTTGATCGACTCAACAGTGCACACATGTAATCGAAATAATGCAAAGCCATGCCTATACTGGAGATATGTAGAGTGGCAGCAAACAACAAGGGGAAGTTGGGGAGAGATAGAAAGAGAAGAAATACATATAAGACAAATTGTGAAGCCGTGTGAATAATACATTGATATGATTATGATTGGGGAATAATTTATGCTGGAAACCTTGTCATCCAGTTGTTAATACTGCGACATTACAGTGTGATTACTAAAATAAACTTATCTAATATGGAATTACATTCTACCACAGTGCCCTAGTTTCCAAATATCAGCCCTTTTTCAGGAGAAACATTGAAAGGAACTCAGTTAAATGAACTTTTACAAGGACTTCACCATGGATATTTGTAGTAATTGGTTGGAAAATGAAAGCTGAAGTTTAAATACCATCAAAATACTGTGATGAATACATTGTGCTAATGATTTCACACAGTAATGCAAAATGATAGCAAATAAACACCACTCATGTTAATTTCAAGACAGTTTTATTAGAATACCCATTTAATAATAAAAACCAGTTTATATCAGGTTGTAACGACAGAAGACAAGAGCCAGACAACAGATCGTTTATTGAGAAAATCAAGAGATATTTATAGATTTCTATGCACATTATTATTAGCGTTATTATTAGCAGAGAAATAACGTCTTCTGATTGGTTGTTTTCTTGCTGAAGGCTATTGTGTACTGCTTGTGACCGTTTCTCAGAAAGTTGAGCCATATATCTGCGAATCGTATTTGCACACGTTAAGTCTGCTGTGATTGGTTGGTGAGTTTCCCAAGGTTAAGCTTTGTTATTGTTTTTTCCTCATGACACTGATTCGGGACGTGAACATTGACGTAAATTGTTGTCTACAGCTTTGGCCAGCAGACAGCTCTCACCATATGGTAATTGAAGGTAATATAGTTAAACAACATAGGACCCTAAGTTTCTGACTTATTGACAATTGTTAGAAAGCGTATCTGCAATCTCGAAGGGCTGGATACTCTGTCGAAGATTTAAATCCGTATTATTATCAAGTTCTGCAGTCAGAAATGTTGTTTCGATAAAGAAAGGAAGACGAAATTCGCAGTATAAAATGATATCAATCTATTTCACATGTTCTCATCAGCTGCAGACTACCTGAAATTACAATGGTTATATAAACGATAATAACATACTTTAATGTTTGAGTAATAGTAGAGAAGAGATAAAAGTGACGCATCCAAAAAAGAATGAAAGCATCTCAATTTTTAGTTTAGTTTTTCATCATCAATTTATACATTTTCAAAGTTGAAAAGAGGGGGGAGGGGTAAGACAGAAAACAGAAAAATTGACTAACAGAAACAGTATTACCTTGTAGGTTCACATAGCAACTCCAAAAAACAAAGGCGGTTACAGTTTATGAGATTAAGATTTGTTCAGTGAGTTGAGATCACTGAATTAGATGACTAATTATTGTAATCAAAATCAAAATTCAGTTACCAAGGGAGTGAGAGAGTGATTAACCTCTGTTAATCAATTTTTCTGTTTTCTGTCTTACCCCTCCCCCCTCTTTTCAACTTTGAAAGTGTATAAATTGATGATGAAAAACTAAACTAAAAATTGAGATGCTTTCATTCTTTTTTGGATGCGTCACTTTTATCTCTTCTCTACTATTACTCAAACATTAAAGTGTGTTATTATCGTTTATATAACCATTGTAATTTCAGGTAGTCTGCAGCTGATGAGAACATGTGAAATAGATTGATATCATTTTATACTGCGAATTTCGTCTTCCTTTCTTTATCGAAATTTATCAAAGGAACCAGTTGTATGAAGAAATGTTGCTATTGGGTTACTGGAACCCACAACTGGTCTTCTGTAGGTTTGTAAATGATTAGTCACTAGAGAGAAACTAATGTCATATGTCTTGACTTGAGAGTCGATGTTGACTGGAGTTTACTAGGCATTTTTTTGTAATATGGGCATCCAGTTAGTTGAGCTTCAGCGACTCAGTAGTAACACTTCTGACTGCCTCTATCCACCTTAACAATCGGTCATGTTGTTCAATGACCACATTGCAAACTCAATTGATGGGATTCGTATCCAAGCACGGGTTTGCAGGGATTTGATTGGTTTCAGGATTTCGTGATGATCTGACATCAGTTAGAGTACCACTGGAAAACCTAGGAGTACTAGACGGCTGTTTCGTCAGCCTAGTTTGAGTCTCTTCAGCAGTACGCACCTACCACTAAAGTTCGAACCCGAAGCCTTCTGGTTACAAGGTGAGCTCTCAGACAATTAGGCCACCAAGACCCGCCAGTCAGTGCATAAATTCCAACTTCTGCCAATTCACAACATAGTGTACGACTGGCACTAGCCAGTGTCATCGCTGGCGAATATTTGTCCTCACAACTGACCTGCTGTACCCACCCCATTGTTCACAACTTCCCTTTAGAACCCAGGTAACTACTTACCTGAATAAGGCCAGTCATTAGTGAACATCAGATTGATATTCAAGTGTTAGTTTGATTGGATCTAGACAAGACAACCAGTGTGGTGAGAGCTGTCTGCAAGACAAAATTGTAGACAACAATTGACGTCAATTTTACGTCCCAAATCTTGGCCATGAGAAAAAAACAAGAACAAAGAAAGACTAACTCAACAACCAATCACAGCAGCCTAAGCGTGGGCGGATACGATTCGCAGATATATATATCAACGAACTGTCTAAGAAACGGCAAAAAAGAGATGACAGAATAACCTTGAGCAAGAAAACAACCAATCAGAAGACGTTGCCTCTCTGCTAACAATAACGAATAATCAAGTAAGTACAAATATATAAATATCTTTTGATTTTCTCAATAAACGATCTATTGCCTGGTACTTGTCTTCTGTCATTACACCAGAACTAATGGCTATGGCAGTGGGGACTGTCAAAAGGACTGATTAGTGGAAAGCCGATTTAGTCGAACTGCAAACGACTGGGAGTATAAAAGGGTGTATATCATCAAATTTTTTAGACTTTTCGAATCCCGGTGGGTGCATACTGTGAAGAGTCCCAAACTAGGACGAAACAGCTGTCCAGTAATCCCAGGTTTTCCATTGTTTCTCTAACTGATGTCAGCTCATGATGAAAATCCTGTAACCAATCAAATCCCTACAAGCCAACACTTGAATATCAATGAGATGCTCACTATCGACTTGCCCTATTCAGGTAGGTAGTTACCTGGGGTTCTAGTGAGAAGTCGTGAGCAGTAAGGTGCAGCAGGTCGGATGTGAGGACAAATACTCGCCGAAGACATTGGTTAGGGGTCGCGCTATGTCGTGAATTGGCAGAAGCTGGAATTCATGGGCCATTGGATCGAGCTCACCTTGTAACCAGAAGGTCCTAGGTTCGAATCCCGGTGGGTGCGTACTGCTGAAGAGTCCCCTGTCCAGTACTCCCAGGTTTTCCAATGGTTCTCTAACTAATGTCAGCTCATGATGAAAATCATGTAACCAATCAAATCCCTGCAAACCAACACTTGAAGACTTTTATTTCCAAAAAGTAATTTGTTGTTGTAAGTAAACTATACTTTTCCAGAAAGGAAAGCATACATCATATAAGATTCACAGAAAAATAAATAATGAGACAGTTTTAGTAGTAATAGTGTTTCACACAAGTCTTAGAACAATCGAAAAGTTAATCTCGTCAACTAAATCCACCTCAAACAATAATCGATTTGAAAATAAAATGAAAATTATAATATCAGTCAGATAACCACCTCCAAGTGGAGTAGTCTCTATGCAATACTTGTTGAACAGACTTCTTCACTGCAACATTTCAACATTTCTTCTTCGCTTCGCCTGCTTCACCTTCTTCACCAGTTGTCCCGATCTTGACAGACAAACACGTTTCAGAGATAATTACAGGTTTATCAGAGTGTAATCTAACCTTGTTTTCAATCACTCGGCTTACAGAATCACGTAAATTTTTTGATATAGATGTCATTGGTTTATTACGCTTTGTAGAAATATCAGAATGAGAGGCGAGTGTTAGATGATTTGTGTCTGTGTCCTCAGGTGTAGAATCATCCTTGAGTTGTATTCTCTTCATTTTGTCAATCTCTCGTTTAAATGCTACACTGCGTAGACGACTATTTGTAATTCTACCTAGAACAAATTGTAGAATTGACAAATCTTTCATTTTATCTATCCTATTCAATGGATAAGGAGTAGTGATCAATGCATTTCGACACAGTTGACGCTTGATTAAATAATAATTCAATGATTTCCATTTATCTGTAGGCATAAATATGTCCAATTTACGTGTGATATTAGCATTTATCGATGCAATGAAATTATTGTCGACTTTACTCTGGATAAAGTTTGGTTTTTTGGTTAAACAACCACTAGAATTACCCGCCTGAATACGATTTTGTGTAGTTTGTAATTTGATCAATTGTATATTGCTTATTTGAATTGTTTTACCGCTATTAGTCATAGTAATATTGATTTGTTTATTCTGTCTTAGAGGTTTGTTTAAATTTGAACAGGGTTGTTCTTTATTTCGTGATAATTTATTCTGTTTTATTGTGTTCACTTTATCCAAACTTTGACTGTGATGACGTTTTACACTTGATTTAATGTCTTTTGATTTATTTAAACTCTTAGTCACTGGAACTGAACATGATCGAGGCCTTGTCATTTGATATAATTTTGAACTAGGAGAATAAATATTGGCATATTTGGTTTTTTGTAACGATTGTACAGAAGAAGAATACCTCTTCAGCATTTTGATATGATTTATGCTGGAAGATTTACTCACAAGTCGGCGTGGTTGCTGTGGATGTTGCTGATGTTGTTGTTGGTAGCGTTGTCGTGGCTTCACTGGAGTAAACGTTCGTCTTATGCCTATTCTAGACTTTTCTACTGACTTTTCTAGAAACAGATGAGAATTTTTCATAAGAGGTGTTTTTGGACAATATCGAAATCCTTCTGTCTTCTTCTGCTTCTTCGCCGTCATCTTCGCCTCCTCCTTCTCCTTCACCATCTTTATTTGTTTATCTCTTGTCGATGTTACACGTCGGTTAGATTTCAATTCGTTTGCATCACCATTAGATATACTGGAAACAGTACTGGGTGCTGCTGTATTCACTCCTTGATGCTTTTTCTGCATACTGTTTGACTTATGAGCATATTGGTTATTGATTTTCGCTGTAGACGAATTATCGCCTGACATAGATGATAATTTTGTTAGTGATCGTTTTGAAGATGTCGCTGACACTGTTGTTGTTGTTGTTGTTGTCGTCACTGACGAACGAGAAGATGAAGTATCCAGTGGAGTTATCTGACACGACCGCTTCTCCACTACTGCATATGTACTAAGTCTATAGAAATTCTTGCGTTTATTAAATCCTTGTACTGTGAATAAACAAGTATTTGTAATATTGTAAGTATCTTTGCTAGGCGATAACGGTGTTTTTTTCAACTGGAAGTTAGTACTCGGAGGTATTCGATACACTGAACTATCGCTAAGTAGATTCTCTGTCAACGCAGTGCCATAATTCAGGTGTAATTTATCCCACTTATTAATACTATAGATTAAACACTTCATATTAATTAGGGAATATGGCTGATTAGAATCCATCAGTGTCAATCCGATTTCGTAAACTAGGTGACTAGCTCTGTCAACTGTTTCTGGAAGCTTCTCTTCATTTAATTCATACTTCTCATAAATATCTTCTGGTGAAGTAATCATCAATTCACTATACTGTGATAAATGTTCCGGTAGTAATTCTCGATTACTAATCATACTACTACTACTACTACCCACAAAGCTACTGCTGTCTTCAGTAGTATCATGACTACCAAATTCACTTGATTTATCTACATCTTCTTCGAGTACTTCAGTGCTTTTTGTAATCTCATTTAGGCGAATTTCACTGCCAGTATTCTCAAACTTTTTATGCTTATAATTCTGTAGATTTTCAATTCTTCTTCTATTTTCTGAACATGAACGATACAATTGAGGCGATTGAAAAGTGTCGATTCTTTTTGAATATGTTGAGATACAACGTCGTAGTATAAAGGATTTCATGAATTTCACCATTGTATTCAAGTTGAATTCTTTGCAGGTATGGGATTGACTCGTTAATTTAAAGATGTCTGGGTGCATGGTCTCTTGAACACCAGGAGGTTTGTTCTTTTTCAATGACGATGAAGCCGATGGTATTTTCATCAAAAGTGCATTTTTTAAATGTTCATTCAAGATGATAACATTTTTACAATGTTTTGAATTCATCTCAATTAAAGATGTTACTGTTAATGGCGTAGTCCCGAGAGATATTGGCATGAATTTCAATTGATTTAATGACGATGATAGTGAGATATATTTTTTAAAAAGATAATGTACTTCATGGTTAGAATTCCTAAAGCCGCTATAAAATCCTCTAGACGAATGATTCATAAAACGATCCTTAAATATTCTTGATCTCTGTTGACTATATGAATAGTATTGTTTAGATAAAAGAGGATAAGATGCTAAGGCTTTCGATGTATGAGTTAATAAAGATGACATGAGCTGAATAATAATAATCCATGGTAATTGATACAAATATTGACTATTTTTTTGTACATCAGAATGTAAAACACTTTGCAATAGTTCATAATCCCTTGAAAATTGAATTTGTGAATTCAACACACTGTCAAGTATTTGATAATTTTCAATACAGTTGAGAATTTCATTGGAATGGTGAATTGAATTTGGCGGTAAAATTGTTAGTAACCTTGAAATTTGATTTATGTGTAAATTATGCTTGAGTAGAATTTGTTTAAATTCTTTTTCTGACTTTTTTAATAAAATTATAAAGGTTAATAAGCGTATTTGCATTCTCTCTGAGTCGTAGTCATCAGCTTGATTATTATTAGATACATTGGTTTGTGCATATTGACTTTTACATATTTCTGACGACCATTGCAACTTCTTTTTTGGAGTGTTCATCTTTCGGAGGTGTATGTGGATTCCTGAAGAAAACATTGAGAATATCTGGTGTACTATTTCACTGATCGTTGATATAAAACGTCATTTAATAAAATCAGTAGTGCATAAGTCATATTATTTGTTCAAAACTTACCTTTCGTCCTGTTTAGGCGCCGTCAGCAACATGTATCTGTTCCTCAGTGAGTGATTAGTATTTTCCCTAAGACTCGAATTCAGTACTCACCGTCCGAAATGCTGACAGATGCATTCGGTGTCAACAGTAGAGAAGAGACACTAGAATCGAATGACCTTGGACCAACCAATCGGATCGTTCAGCATTACAAATCGATGCTTTTCACTATCTTCGTTGCAAGTTTCACCCTAACCTAATCATAAATCTGCCTTATTCCTGCCCTAACCTAAACCGTCAGTCAGGATGAAACTTGCAACGAAGATTATGAAAAGCATCGATTTGTAATGCTGAGCGATCTGATTGGTCAGTTCAAGGTCATTTGAGTGTGGTGTCTATTCTTTACCGTTACCCGTTTGGTCTTCCATTGACCTGGTGAATAACTCTTTGCTGTTTGGAATGATGGGTACTGGATTTGAATCACCATCATTTACTGAGGAGCGTGTTCATCCAGCCTACAGCTGTCATCTTTTCGTCTCCAGGCGAATTAAACTTCACTAGATGACTTAAACTAACAGTTATTCATTTTTGCCATGCTTTAATCTAGCCATTTGCTTTCAGCCTGATACTGTTTCTGCTCATACAAACACGTAAAGGACACAGTAAGTACAGTATAAATATACGTGTTTGAATTGAAGCATATTTCAAATAAACCAGTTACCATAGTTTAACCCGTTTGTATGGTTGAAGCTTTTTTAATTAAATGGTTAGAATTCGTCGTGAAGAAACATGTATCTTAGGGTATCATTGTATACCAAAGAGCATTTGAAAAAAGATGGTTTCCATAGTTTGGTACTCTTCATCAAGGCACATCAACGACCTTACCGGGGATGGCTTCAAGAACATTCAGGTTATAGGGTAAACCTATTGATAAATCGACAACGCGCTTAGATTCTAACTCGCATTATTATTATATTATTCCCTTCGGTTCCATTTGAAAAACAGAGCTTCAACAACAGATCACTTTGTTTTATTCTCTGCTGTCCTCTTCGTCTGGGTCAACGACTGCCCATATCCTCTCATCTCTTCCTCAAACGATCTCCTCCATATCACCCTCGCACTGACGACTCACTGGTCACTTCTCACTGGGGTTCTACTGGAGGCATTGCCTGGTGTGCGATGTCATTCGACGGCTTCCTCACTAGCGTATGCCCAATCCATCTCCATTTTCTCCCACATATTTTTTGAGCAATCGCCTCTTCGTTGGTTTGTTCATTGTCAGAGTTTCTTGTTGCTAATTCTTTCTACCTGACCAGCCATTTGATCTTCAGTATGACGCCAGCGAAGCGGGCAGCTATTGATAAAAGTCGTGATAGTCAGTACAAGTTTTTGACCCATATAGAAGAACTGACTGGCTTAACATTTGTGTTGAAAATCCGAATCTTGTTCTTTATGCTGAGGAGTGCAGGAGACTCACAAACTGGTTTCAGGTTGATGAATGCGTATCTTGCCTTTCCAATTCTGGCTGGTTTCGACATCTTCATCCGTTCCGTGTGCCTGTAGTTGAAAGGATGCTTCCTAGCCAGATAAGCGAAGGAAGTAACCTCGGTCAAATCTCTCCCGTTGATAGTGATTGGTGCTGGTGGCTGTTGCTGATGGCTGGTTGTCTTCTTCACCTCTATCATCTCTATGTTCATCTGGAGTCCTGTCTACGCTGCACTGCTTCTTCAGCCAGACGGTTGGTTTTCGCCTGCCTGAAAGTCTTCGAGTTTGTGTGATATTAAACATAAATCATTGGAGAAATCCAGATTTCTTACCGGTTAGTGCAGCGTATTCCTGCCTTTTCACTCCTCTCACACAGTCTCCAGCCTAATAGGCTGGCAGCCCTGTCTTACTCCTGTATTCATTTCAAAATCTGCGCTGATTTTTTCGGTGTGGATCACCTGACATGTGCGACTGTCATATAGCCACCTGTTGAATGAGACTGATAAAAAATTGGGTACTGCACACAACAGTGTTGAAGCAGTTTCCCAATTACTTCTCAGTTAACGATATCGAAGGCTTTTTCAGCGTCGATGAAGTTGAGACAGGATTCTATACAAGTAGGTTTCGTCATCAGTATTTATGAGTGTTTCCTGCCTACTCAACCAACCGGTGGTTTATATCCAAATCGAAAAACTCACACTGCCTTAGATTTTTTAACCACTTCTATCACATTTTAGGTCAGTTTATTTGGATTTTTATAAGTTTAGCCGCATTATTATATACTTTTCAATGCCATGTGACAGCCATAGTGTCAATCTATTTCCGGCTAATGTGTCTATTAAATTTCATTTGAGTAGTCCTGACAAGGAGACGTGTGATCAGACAGTGTAAGCTAGCAGTGTCAGCTGACACAGGGACAGTTTGTTGTTATTGGATGGTTGGAGGCAATCGGCAGGAAGCCTCACCTGACCTAGGTTTCGTGTTAGTCGGCATTCACAACTGAGTCAGCAAGGTGTATCTGCCACCACCTTAAAGGAACTCATTTCTCTTCTGAGATCCGAACTCGTGTCACCCAATCACGAGAAAAAAATTGTAAAAGATTAATTGACGGTCAAACTAAAACATGCTACCTTTCCATTTAGCCTTCGATTGTTGGTTTGACCCATGCGGGAGGGTGTAAACTGCCTATCTCGGAGCCTTGAGATGCTAAAAACTAACTGCTGGACACTGTTGGTAACTCGGCTAAAAATCCTTCTCAATGTCACAGATGGATTCACCCATTTGTGATCACCCAGACCCAATAAATTCTTGTTATTCTCCATATTATTACTGCTTCACCAGTAAATTTCCGTTTATATATATAGGAGGATTTCTACAGTCAACTACAAACAGTAATGGACAACGTCCCAAGGAGCGATATCAAAATCCTGATGGGCGACATGAATGCGAAACTGGGAGGAGACAATACAGGAAGAGAACTCACCATGGGTCGTGAGGCCCTCGGTGAAATGAACGAAAATGGCGAACTCTTCTCAGACTTCTGCGCCTTCAATGATTTGGTGATTGGTGGCAGTGTGTTCAAACGCAGGGATATACACAAGGCGACCTGGATTTCACCAGATGGACACACCAAAAACCAGATAGACTTCATTTCAATCTCAAGGAAGTGGAGACGGAGCCTACTGGACACAAAATCGAGGAGAGGAGCAGATGTGGGTGCAGACCACTATCTAGTACAAGGGACTTTCAAGGTGAAGCTAAAAGCCTCGGGGATAGCTGAGGATAGGCCATAATGCAAGTTCAACACTCACAAACTGAAGGACACAATCACACAGGACATTTTCACTGCAACTGTCAGAGCAAAGCAGGAAACACTACTTGGCACCACTGAGGAATCATCCGTGGAAGACCATTGGGACTCTCTGAAGGTAATTTTCAACGAAACGTGTTCAACGGTTTTAGGAAGAAAGAAGAAACAAGACAAGGAATGGCTCTCAACAGACACTTGGAAACTAATAGAGGAGAGGAGAAAGGTGAAAGAAAAAATGATTCAATGCAAAGATGGACAAGAGAAAGAGACGCTGAACTCAACTTACACAGCACTGGACAAAGAAGTGAAGAAGAGTGCCAGGAAGGACAAAAGACAATTCCACGACAACCTGGCCACTGAAGCTGAGAATGCAGCAGGCAAAAGGGACCTGAGGACACTATATCAGATAACCAAGTCTCTATCCGGGAAGAGATCAACACAAGTGAAACCTATAAAAGACAGCCAAGGGAACCCAATTACCAAAGAAGAAAGACAGATTAAACAATGGGCGGACCACTTCAAAGGACTCTTGAATCGACCACCACCTACAACCCGTCCAGTAATACCAACAACAGCACGTACACAACTGCAAGTTGACACCAATCCTCCAACGAAAACTGAAGCCATGAATGCAATCAAGCTTCTGAAAGCTGGAAAAGCAGCTGGACCAGATGGAATACCCCCGGAAGCACTGAAAGCGGACCCAGAAACGACGGCAGATATGCTGACTCCATTATTGCAAAAGATCTGGAAAGAGGGAAAGGTGCCTACTGACTGGAGGAAAGGTTACCTGGTGAAACTACCAAAGAAGGGCGACCTGGGACTCTGCAAGAACTGGCGAGGAATCATGCTCCTGTCGACGCCAAGTAAAATCCTGAGTCACATCATCCTGGAGAGAATCAAGGACGCACTGGATACAGAACTCCGACCAGAACAAGCTGGATTCAAGAAAGGCAAATCATGTTCTGACCAAATTGCAACTCTACGCATTATCATCGAACAAAGCATGGAATGGCAATCAAATCTCTACCTCAACTTCATAGACTTTGAGAAGGCCTTCGACAGCTTTAGCCACGAAGTAATTTGGAAACTACTCGAGTACTACGGCGTACCCCAAGTATTCATCAACCTTATTCAACAACTGTACGACAACGGTACATGTCAAGTGATCCACAACGGAAAACTCAGCGAAGCGTTTGGAGTAAACACAGGAGTCAGACAAGGGTGCTTATTATCACCAATGATATTCCAATGATATTGTGGTGGACTGGATTATGCGTCAGACAGTGGGAAACGAGAAAAGAGGGATATCCTGGACCAACGTGAAGAACCTAGAAGACCTGGATTTCGCGTGTGGATGATTTATGTTTGATGTCACACAAAATCGAAGACTTACAAGCAAAAACCGACAAACTGGTCGAAGAAGCAGCCGGTGAAGACAGGACTCCAGGTGAACATAGACAAGACGGAGGTTATGAAAATAAACAACCAACAACAACAACAACAGCAACATCCAGTGCCAATCACCATCAACGGGAGGGATTTGAAACAGGTTACTTCTTTCACTTATCTGGGGAGCATTGTCTCAACCACAGGAGGAACGGACGAGGATGTCAAATCGAGAATCGGGAAGGCGAGAAACACATTCATCAACCTGAAACCAATCTGGAAATCTTCGTCACTCAGCGTCAACAACAAAATTCGGATTTTCAATACAAACGTCAAGTCAGTTCTTCTTCTATACGGATCAGAAACTTGGCGGGTCACAAAGAATATTTCCAGCAGCCTGTTGCAGACCTTTATCAACAACTGTCTTCGCTCCATACTGAAGATTAGATGGCCAGAAAGAATCACAAACAAGAAGCTATGGGAACAAACGAAACAGGAACCAATCGCCCAACAAATATGCAGGAGGAAGTGGAGATGGATTGGACACTCGCTGAGGAGGCCGTTGAGTGACATCGCGCGTCAAGCCCTCGAGTGGAACCCGAAAGGGAAGCGGCGAGTGGGACGTCCAAGGGTGACATGGAGGAGATCGTGTGAAGAGGAATTGAAACAGTATGGATTAACATGGATGCAGGTGAAAAGTACAGCAGAAGACAGAAGCAAGTGGAGACGTGCAGTTGAAGCCCTATGTTCCACTAGGAACCCAAGGGAACAATAATAATAATAATATAGTTTCTCTGTAACTTTTCTACCTTTGTGTATCGCATGTCGAACTACTGCAATTTTCGCGCGCTATTCCGCGTCAGAAATTCAGACGAAATCATTGGTCATTTGTCATTTCACCGGGAGGATAAATCTTACCTTTTTAGTTTATCTTCTGTGTCTGTCATTATTTATGTGTGTGTGTGTGTTAACGAGTGGTAAATAACAGTGGTCTTCCCATTACACAACCTGTCACTAGCGGAGGGCTCAAACTGAACACTATTCAACCAGTAGTCATGTCTCGACTGGACACTAAACAGTAACCCAATGTCTTGCGTCTAGTTCTTCATGTCGGTGTAGATTTCACTGATATATTTCAGTCTGTATCAGCACCGAGAGTCAGACACATAAAACTAGGTATATTCTAATGACCAATCGTTGCCTTCATAACAAACCTACAGAAAGTCAATCGTGAGCCCAAATAGCTCACTGATGATATCTCCAACTGTAGCAGTTGGTTGCCTCTGGTTGAAATCTGTGAGGGGAACACCAGTTCCTTCGAGGTTTCAGAGACGCATTGCTTCCTGCAGATTGCCTCCAACCATCAACCTGAAACCAGTTTGGAAATCGTTTGCTTCACTCAGCCAGCATGTAGAACAAGATTCGAATTTTTAACACAAATGTTAAGCCGGCGAGTTCGTCTCTGTGGGTCACAAACTCGCACTGCGTGTAACGAAAAGGATTTCCAACAAGCTACAGACTGCTTTGCTGACTCCATACTGAAGATCAAATGGCTGGCCAGGCAGAAAGAATTAGCAACAAGAAACTCTGGCAAGAAACAAACCAACGACGAGGCGATTGCTCGACAACTATGTAGGAGAAAATGGAAATGGATTGGAGAGGTCACCGAGTGACATCGCACACCAGGCATTACCTTGAGTAGAATCCCAATACGAAGCAACGAGTGGGTCGTCAGTGCGAGGGTGTCATGGAGGAGATCGTGTGGTGAAGAGGAGATGAGAGGCTATGGTCAACCGCGCGCCTGGTTATCTCAAGAGGACTGTAGAGACCAGAACAAAGTGGAGATGTGTTGTTGAAGCCCGATTTTTCAGTTACAACCCTTCCTGCTGTGAATTTTTTTTCCTATTGCTGGTGTTGTTCTGATTGCTTTATTTCTTGTTTTCCTGATTATAAAGGAAGCAACCCAAAAAGTCGCTCCTTTGTAAACCAAATATTCATCAAACAACCCCCTTCTCAGGCGTGAAGCTAGCAACCCCATCCTGTAAACAAGGCTGCTTATGGAAACTCCAGTATGCTGAGTCCCCTTGCAACAAAAGAAAAAGTCTGTGTGGGTACATGGAACGTCCGCACCATGTATGAAACTGGCAAAACTGCCCAGATTACAAACGAGATGAAAAGATATAGTATTCAAGTACTGAGAATATGCGAAAGCAGATAGAATGGGAGCGGATTCACAAAATTGTCAATGGGAGAGTTAGTGATCTACTCCGACCACCCAGAAGTCAACTATACGGATCAGAGACTTGGCGCCGCGTCACGAAGGGCCATCAAACTACAGACTTTCATCAGCAGCTTCCTTCACTCAGTACTACTCAAGATCAGATGGCCCGCCAGAAAACATCAGCAATAGGGAGGTATCTCTGGGAGCGAACCAACCCAGAAGGAACCAATTGTGCAACAAATATGCAGGAAGAAATGGAGGTGGATTGGATTGGCCATACTCTGAGAAAACCATCAAGTGAGTGACATCACACACCAGGCCATCGCTCGAGTGGGACCCGAATGGGAAGCGGGGAGTTAGTTGGTCGTCAGTGCGAGAGTGACATGGAGGAGAAGGAGGTCATGCGAAGAGGAGATGAAAGCATGTTGGGAGACGTGGAGCCAGCTAACAGATATATATATGCTTATTTTAAAAGCAATCCATGAAACAGTAAAACAGAAAAATACAAACTCACACAAACCCACACACGCACACACACACAAACGATAAAAAACCACACATCGAAAACGAATCAGAAATAAGCACAAATATAAGAATTTATTTTGAGCAAAACAAGGCGAAGACAGAAGTAGAAGGAGGAGAAGAAGAAGTGTATCTATCCATCAGCTTTCGAACTGAGTACTTCTCTTTTTTTTAACACTATGAGGTAAATTATTTGTATTATTCCACATTATGTCTCATATATATATAACAGACAACGTAATAGTGATAATAAGTAAAAGTTGGAAAAATGAGATACACGGTCAATAATACCTTTTGACATTATTTTACTCAATATAAGGAGTAAATTAAGAAAAGACTATTTCTCTAGCCTTTCAAGCTGAAGAGTGTTCATTATTTTTTTTCTTGAAATTCTTTACAGAATACAATAAAAAACAACAACAAAGTAAGGCGGCAAAAAAATACAAAATGCTCATTCCCCCCCACCTGAATTGTGGCATAACCTTCTACCTTCCACTATCCCTTTTCAAGATCATGAGTAGTCGCTTAAAATCTCATTCCCTCTATCATATTTACTCATAACTCTAAAAGTTAATAATTTCAACTGTGAGGAATTTTCACTTCTCATTATTTTTACACACTTCTCTAATACTGGTATAATATGTTGTCTATCCTTTGTAAATGTTACCGCGTCCACACCACATGTTTGTACGCCTTCCTCTTCACAATCTATCAGGGAATATATTCTTGCCTTTAGTGTGTAGAGATTTTCTAAGGAGTCGAACTCCTCATAAGGTCGAAGAGGATGTAAATGTTTCGTAGTAGAAGAAGTAGTAGCATTTCGTCGAGAATTATTCAACTTTCTTTGAGAAATCTTCTTAGACGACAGTAGTGATCTCAAATAATCTTTAGATGAAAGTAAAGCACAATTATTCAGCGATCTAATTCCATACTGACCATCATCAAGTTGATGATTTGTATTGATTATCATTCTCCGACCACTACTTGTACTACTACAACGTCGACGTCGACGAATTGATCCACTACTCAGTGATTTATCTTCACTAAGAGAAAGTGATTTCTCCTCTTTATTATTATATAACTGTGTCAAACTTTTTGGTTTAGTAAACGAAAAAAACTGTTGTACATTAGTAGAATTCTTTAAAAAGTCCGCATGAATTTGTTCAGTTTTTTTCAACGGTTGACAATATTGTCCCCCGGGAAATTTTATAAAAGAATTCATCGGTTGATGAGGCTCCATCAACTGATGACGAATGACCTCATACCATTGAGGATTAACCGGCTGGTTGATTGAATTCGGTAGAATGAAACAGCCTAATGCAGCTAAACGTTCCGGTGTTAATCCATTGGATTTTGATATCTCTGTGGACATGTAATCAGCATTATACGGTGAGCTGATGTAATTATCACGTAATTTCTGTGAGGAATCATTCACTACCTTTTGCATTTCTTCAATTTCTTTAGCTAATTCTTTATTCTTTTCATGATTCAATGAATAGTACTCATAATCAAAACGATGTGTTAATAGTTTTTGTTGTCTTTTATATAGATCCAAGTGTTTTGCAATGATTTTCTTACGACAGTGTTTAATTTTCCGACGTAAATGTGCTCTTGTTTGCATATCAAGTTGTAGGGGAATTTTATGCGCACAGGGGATTAATCGTCTTTCCGGTCGCTTCCTACGCACACCAGTATGCTGTATAGTGTGTCGTTTAGGCTTTGTTGACTTCGCCTGCTTTTTAATATCGACTAGGAGGTCAGTATCACTGAAGCATTCAGCTGTATAATCATCAGAGAGAAGAAGAAGGTGAGAAGGCATGTCCTCTTTCTGTTTCATATGACTACTATATGTATCCTGCTGTAATTCATAGAATTTGGTCGTACTAATTTTACTGAAATCTTTGGCATCGTATTTTTTCATATGTTTGGTTATTGGCAGTGTAGTTGATTCTTGTATGCCTTCTATCATGGAAATATCAAACGCTAAAGATTCAATTGCATTTGGTGTCAATTCATATGCATTCATTGGTAAATATTCAAATATGCCGGCAGTTTTGTTCAATGGTTCAATGGTTTCAAATTGTCTATGACCAGGAAGTTGCTTTCTCTCGTATTCCAGGTGTTCAGTCATAATTTCACGTCTATCATCAAATCGAGAGTCTGCCATACTTGCTTTTTTCAATTGATCATATGTATGCAGTTTCGACGAGTCTTCAACTTCAACAGAATAGTCCTTATCAAGTGATAGCGAAGTTAGCTTCGCTGATAGCCTACCGGCGTACATTTTACCATCATCAATCGGTGAAGTAATCTCTTTCCTGTCTGTAATGCTGTCTATCTTTGAAATTTGTTCACCTGTCTGATAATCTAAATAACTAGGATAGCCTTGAATGTCATCTGATTTTATAAAAACAGTGTGACTTTTATCAAACCCTTGAGTCAATTTTAAAAATTCACTAAAAGAATTATCTAGATCATTAAGAGATCCGCTTGCAGTTTCATGTTTAGATTCGCAGGGTAAGTCTTCAGATGCTTCGTGTGCTTTTGATTTCTCATATGCTGCTGCTCCTGCTGCCGCTGACGAAGTCTTTTCTGCACTACCGAGCGTACCCTGTAAAGAAGTTTCAGAGAGATTATCACTTGCTAGTGTTTTCCTGAATTGCGGGGATTTCTTATCATATCTACCGGAGACCGTCGCCTTTTTGCCTGATATGTCATGTGTACTTAGATCTCTGTCTTTTGATTCGTCTACTGACACAGAAGTACTTTTGTATTTCCCATCTGCTTTATATGACAACTGATCATGAGATTGTGCAAGGTGATCAGCAGTTGAAGGGATCTTTACACCATCGACTGATTTTTCCCAGTAGCCGGATAAACCTTCTGAGGTTACCTGTGTTAAGTAGTCAGGAGAACTAGTCTTCTTATGACCAGCTACTTTAGCATGTGTCACTTCAACAGGAGATGGTGTTTCAGGATATTTTGAAACCTTCTCGAATTCATCCAGTATACGCTTACCATGCTTTGACGTATCTTCTCCGACCCAAGTTAAAGTCATTTCTGAGTGAGTATCAGGCATAGCACTAGTTTTTACTTCATTCGGATCATAGAACTCTGGGCTGATAGTGTCACTGTTATCGCTAAATAGCATACGGTCAGGCTTATCAGGTGAAATTTCATATCTTAAACCTTCATCATGTTGTTTCGGTATGTCAGCAGACTTACGAGTTCCTGTTGCGCGTTTTTTATCATCATCATCACCATCCTTATCGTCATCTTTAGATGTTCCATAAACTTTTTTAGGCGTTGTTTTTGAATGCTTTGCCTTCTCACGTTGATTTTGACGACGAGTATCAAGAAGTCCACCGCCATTTTCTCCTGTTTCTTCACCAATTCTCATTTGTACACCGAATCCGCTAGCTGCTCTAAGCTGTGTATCTGTGTAATGACTTTCATGAAGTTCAGCCTGATCGAATTCACTTGATCGAATTTTTCCATTTTTCTTTTGTAAGGCATCATCAGTTTCACTAGCCAGTCTAAGCTTCTCTGGCTGTGTTTTGTCAAGAAGTGTATCAGCTGTCATGCGTTTTTTATCCTCAGTAGTGGAAATTTTCTGTTTCGATTTTCCCTCTATGACTTCATCGTCAGTTTTACTGACAGTACCAACATGCATCGCCGCCTTATTTTCTTCATCGCCTAGAGTTTTCGAGGAGAATTTCTCGTCAGGCTGAAGTCTATCCCTCAGCTGATCAGTCAACATGTTGTCTTCAGCATACGTCTTCTTTTTAAATTCACTGGTAGGTTTTTTGACCGCCTCATCTTCAAAAAATAATATTTGATGTACGTCTTTCATTTGGATTTGATTCTCTAAATCATGCATTACAGCCTCGGTGGTTTTAACGGCGAATTGAATGTGCATACAAGAATTCCATTGACACAAATGATGCATAACGGGTTTATGCCGACCCAACACTCTCCCAGTACATGATTTTTGTATATATTTATGCTGGAATATTTTATCAAGTTTACCATTTTGGTAAATGATGTCTGGGAGGGTTTTACTTCGGTTTTTTTTATTATCCTCATTTTTATTTTTATTATTATTATTGTTATTACTGTTATTGTTATCACCTTTGAGAAGGTTTCTGTCCTCAGAAGCCCTATCCCTTTTACCAAAAGACGAGCAATGCGAATACTTCGTCAAACATGTTTCACTGAATTTTTGTTTTTTAATGATGTTTTGTAGAGATGAGCAACTCTTCAACTGTTGGCTCATTTTGTATAACCAGGTGTCATGGAGCTGTGAACAGTATGACTGGTATGTCAAAGTCTTCATCTGTTTGCAATCGATTTGTTTACTGTGGCGATCAGCCATTAATACGCTATATAATTCCTGAAAATCATTCAGAACAACAATTGAGGGCTTTCTATTGGTATTCTGATCAAATGAATCGCCTAGCTGTGTAGCTGAATAGGTACTGAGGCATGTCTTAGAGTATTTGACTGTTCTGGAAGAGTTTTCAAACTTATTTCTACAATTTATTATATGAATTAAGTAGAAAGGATATTTTAGCAGTGAGTTGAAAGGTAATTCCCGCTTATTTTCAACTGGTAAGTAAGATCTTGATGTTACCGCTAACGAAGATAACTCTTCATCGTCTAGCTTGGTGTTCCCATCTTGCTTACTTGTTGCGTCCACAGTTATTTTGTTTTCTGACTGACACTTGCATGTATTGAACCAGTTAGAGTTAGTGAGTACATTTAACTCAAGTAAATTGCTCTCGGCATGCACTATTATTTTGAATAAGTCCATTCCATCTTGTGATCGATTTTCAAACTCTTTTAAACTGAAATCAACATTATGAGAGATCCCCTTTAACGATTTACACAAATTGTGATCATTCAACCGTCTATGTATATTATATTTTCGTAAACACAAGTGACCGCTTAACTTCAACAATATCTGATCTAGTAATCGACTCAGATCATATGGTAAAAAGTTAAAATTTATATTCAACTTAAAGCACAATGAACCAGTTAATACATGTTTATTTAATAAGGCATAAATTATGTGAATTTTTTGCTTTGAACTGACTGAATTATAGGGGAACAATTCATTGAAATGCTCTCTAATAGCTTCCTTTTCATTTTTAGCGCTCCCACTTTCAAGGTCATCTAGTAAGGCATATAAATTGTTGCTTTTAAACTCTCCTTCATTATTACACATTATGAAGCAGAAACTTTTACTCTGATCCCTTTGAATCATGTCTTCGACTTTACCATCGGTAAGAGGCACTTTTAAACAACTAATTTTAAATTTGCTTGAGTAACTCCGGAAACTATTAAACAATGCCTTCCTTGAGGATGTAGTATGATGGTCTGGAAGATGTTCTAATTCCCGTGACACCTGTAATGAATTATGAGGAGAAATGAGATCACATTCTGATGTTTCCTGATATCGCCTCTTATCTTCATTCATTTGTATTTTTACTTGATTCCTCAAAAGTAACGTTTTAATGTGGTATACAAATTCTCCTGTGGATTTATATCTGAGCAAAATGTCTTTTGTGATCGGTGTAAAAATGAATCCAACACTTTGTAATAATTAGAAGAAATGAATATTTTTCGAAAATAAAATATGAACTATGATTAGCTTATAACATTATTTCATTGCTCATTTGTCTCTCTTATAGTGAGTGAGTGGGATTAAAATAATTTTGTAAGTCATGTGATACGATAAGGAAGATAATATTTAGATGGGATTAGAAATCAATAATTGGTCATGTGTAATAATAGTGTTAGCATTAGTCGAAGTGGTAATGATAATAATAATAATAATAAGGTTATCCAGATAAACTCATTGAGAAAAATATGAATTCAGCACCTAGGAGAGTCAGCATAGCAACAGTTCCGAAAAAAGCCACTGTTCATAAAACTGCATTTCCTCGGTGACAACATCAGCGAAATAATAACACAGCGCCTGAAGAATGCAGTTTAAAGAGCTTATTATGCAGCAGAGGGATGTTGTCTCTTCACAACCACTCCTATTCTACGTAAAATTAATCTCCTTTATGTGTATCTACCAGTTTGACTGCAGCTGTGGAGCCAGCTACATCGGGCGTACAATTAAGCAGGTTCACCAGCGAATTTCCGAACATCATCCAACATGGTTAAGCAAGGGACAAACAAGATCTATTCGTAGCTCTATTTTAGCACACCTTGTAGATACTGAGCATAAGGTTGATGTTAATACAGCATTTAAAATTATCTATCGCATTCCAACTAATCTTAATTTTGCTCTAAGAGTTCGTCTTTTACAGACAGCTGAAGCAATAGGAATCCACCTGAAGAAGCCAAACCTGTGTGTTCAGAAGAAATTTGTACAGCCACTTTCCTTGCCTTGGCCATCGTTACATGAATGTGTAAACCGGACTACTTCACCCCCCTCCCCCTAAACCTTTAAAATTATAAAAATTATAATTGTCCAAATTATTTTATTTTTATTTATTTTGACCACTTCATCTTTAATTACGTGTTATCCTTGTAAAATTAATTTATTCTAACCATTTCTACCTTTTAATTATGTGTGTTGATTTTCTTCGTTTATTATCAACCCATTGACATTTTGACACTGACTAATTATTGTTAACAAACATATCAGTGCCACTTGATTGGTAAACTGTTGTGTATTGTAATAAAAATGCTATACGTGTATATTAGAGTAGAGCCAGAAATGAGGATCTAATTGAAAAGTAAATATTTCTTCGCTCAATCTTTCTGTTTTCTAAATGTCTAAATGGGGATTTTTTATATTTTATTGTTATTCCCTTGCGTTCCGAGTGGAACATAGGTCTTCAACAACACATCTCCACTTTGTGTTCTGTTTTCTGCCGTCCCCTTCAGCTGGCTGAGTCCACGACTGACCATAATCTCTCATCTCTTCCTCACACGACCTCCTCTATGTCACCCTCGCACGAACGACCTACTTCTCGCTTCCCATTTGGATTCCAATCGAGTTATGGCTGGCGTGCGACGTCATTCAGCGGCCTCCTCAATGGCGTATGCCCGATCCATCTCCATTTTCTCCTAAATATTTGTTGAGCAATCGACTCTTGGTTGGTTTGTTCATTGCCAGAGTTTCGTGTTGCTGATTCTTTCTAGCCATTTGATCTTCACTATGGAGCGAAGGCAGCTATTGATGAAAGTCTGCAACCTTTTCATGACACACGGTGCAAGTTTCTGACCAGTTTACAAAAACCGACCTCACATTGGTTCTCAAAATGCGAATCTTTTTCCTTATGCTGAGTGTAGAAGACTTCCAAACTGGTTTCAGGTTGATTTAGTCGTATCTTGCCTTTCCGATTCTGGCTGACTTTGACATCTCCGTCCGTTCCGCCAGCTGTGGTTGAAACGATGCTGGCTGCCTAGATAAGTGAAGGAGGTAACCTCTGTTAAATCTCTCCGCTGATGGTGATTGGTGCTGGTTGTCGTTGCTGCTGTTGGTTGGTTGTCTTCATCACCTCCGTCTTCTCTCTGTTCACCTGCAGTTCTGCTTTCGCTGCCTATTCAACCAGTTTGTTGGAATGATAATAATAATATGGAGGATGTCATCATGAGCTGACATTGGTTAGAGAACCATTGGAAAACCTGGGAGTACTGGACAGCTGTTTCGTCCTAGTTTGGGACGCCTCAGCAGTACGCACCCACCGGGATTCGAACCCAGGATTTTCTGGTTACAAGGCGAGCTCGTAGACCATTGAGCCACTGGGATCCGATCCAATGGTCCTTGAATTCTAACTTCTAACTATGTCGTGAATTGGCAGAAGTTAGAATTCAAGGACCATTGGATCGGATCCCAGTGGCTCAATGGTCTACGAGCTCGCCTTGTAACCAGAAGGTCCTGGGTTCGAATCCCGGTGAGTGCGTACTGCTGAGGCGTCCCAAACTAGGACGAAACAGCTGTTGTCAATGGACGTGAACATTGAACGTTTCTTTTACTGGGTCTGGCAGCCATTAATGGGCAACTGAAAGGCGCGAATGGTCGATCGCTTGCAGGTTGAAAGAAGACTGGAGTTAAATACGAATAAAAGTACTTTATAACTTCATTTGTACTTAACATTTGTTTGTAGACTTTGTAGTTTTCTTCAATTTAATTGCCAAACAATATAATTTCTTTCAAGGAATACTAGTGTTTTGGATTTAAAGTTGAAGAAAGTGCATAGTATTTATCGGCTCAATCGCTTAAGTCTTCATTACCATAGGAACTTAGGGCTAAGTTCCTTGACAGCTGTCCAGTACCCCCAGGTTTTCCAATGGTTCTCTAACTGATGTCAGCTCATGATGAAATCCTCCATGCAATTAAACAAAATCCCTACCAAACCAATACTTGATGATAATAATAGTAGTATGTGAATGAAGTGTAGTCATAGAAGGAGTAATTGTAGTTGGTGCATCTGAATGAAACAATTTCATGCATAACAAGTGGTTTTATTGAAAAGAAACGGGAATTTTATTTTCTGTGATAATATCTGACTTATTCTAGATAGAAGGTATTTCACCATTTGGCTTCTGATTCTACTGCGTAGCTTTATGTTAACCCTCCTTGTTGACAAATCAAATCAGCTCGCTGAAGTGATTTGGGGTTAAGTCCATTAGCACATACATCTATGATGAAATTAAATAGAAATGGGGACAGTGGGCACCCCTCCCTGAAGGATACCACTAGCTGTCATTACTTCAGATGACAACTCTCTGTAAGCCCTCATCTGGCTGACTGCATGAGTTCGAGTAGAGTGCCTTGATCAATGGGTGATGTATTTTCTCGGCATTCCCCTTACAGCCAAACATCACCATAATACCTCTTGGTCGACAGAATCTAGTGCCGCCTTTAAGTCAAAAAATATAACGATTGTTGGACGCCGCGGTAAGTATGCCTATGTTCCAGAATCTGTCGAAGGGTGGAGATATGATCAATACACCCTCTTCCTGGTCTAAAGCCTGCCTGGTTCTCCCGTGTTTGTTCCTCCTGTGGACTGCTTAATCTACGCATCATCATTATTATTATACCATATTAGTCAAGCTAATCCCTCTTTGATTATCACAGGAAAACTTGTCTCCCTTCTTCTATACTGGGATAATCAATGACTTACACCAACCCGACGGGACTTCCTTTGATTCCCAGACGCTGCCTAGTACCTCAGTTAACGCAGACACTATACTGTCTCCACCGTACTTAAATACCTCTGGAGTCATTCCATCAGGTCCTGGTGCTTTGCCTCGTTTCAAACTGCTGACAGACTTAGTAATCTCAGTTAAGGACGGAGGACCTGTGACGCCACCTCCTTTATCCAGTGGGCCAAGATATACCAGAATGACCATCTACATAATATTGTATAGTGTTACGGATGACCTTTGGTCATGTTATACTAACTGTCTGTTGACATTGCCACTGTTTCGCTGGGTCATATCACATTATTATTCTCGAGGACCATGTTTAGCCAGACAGTGGACATCGCACGACCTGGAGCAAACCAGCAGTCAAGAACTTCATGAATTGATGACATATTTTAGTTTGAACATCTTTTAGTAATATTTTCTGACCCAATTCCATGTCAGCTAACATTGGTCGATAAGGAAGGCGGTGACTTGACATGAGTTACACAACACGTTCTAGAATCAATCCAGCTTCACAACCTCATCGACTGATTTACCATCCTTAAAACTGCACGTTTAACTTCACTATTATCGGTTATTTTATCCCATCTAATATAAGAAACTATAAATTGGAGCAAACTATAACGGCCGTATGCAACGTCAAGTCTACAAACGTATTCTAGAACTTCATGCATTTATTCCCCTTGATGAATCTGAATAAAGCAAGAACAACAGTGGTTTGTGCAGAATAATATGGTACCATCATTTATTTCGTTGGCTTCTCATCAGCTGCTTACAGCCTAAATAAATTATGAGGTTTGCGTACAGAAAAGTTTTAACATACTTGCAAATTTTACATGTTGTCAATTGACAAAAAGTTCCACAATAAGTGAACAGTGCTCAGAAAATTGCGCTTATATAGTTTTTACACAGGCAGTTCAAGTTTAAACAAAATAGATGTATGCATACAATGGTAAAGGAGTTACGTAATGAAGACGAAATATGCGTTAGATACAGACGCTTGAAACCAGATCAATTTTTTCAGAAAGAAGCAGTTATTAATCTTTCCTTGCCCTGGTAACTGAATGTCTTTATTCTCTCATCTGATTACGTAATCTTTGTCTTTAACCTCACCCCCTTATATAATCTGTAATTTTGCTTGTCTCTTGTTTTTATGATTTGAGTTGAACTCAGTACATTGTTACCTAATTTATTAGTCACTCTGTATCTAACTCATATTTCGTCTTTATTACGTAACTCTTTTACCATTGTATGCATACATCTATTTTGTTTAAACTTGAACTGCCTGTGTAAAAACTATATAAGCCCAATTTTCTGAGCACTGTTCACTTACTGCGGAACTTTTGTCAACTGACAACATGTAAAATTTGCAAGTATGTTAAAACTTTTCTGTACGCAAACCTCATAATATATTTAGGCTGTAAGCAGCTGATGAGAAGCCAACGAAATAAATGATTGTACCATATTATTCTGCACAAACCACTGTTGTATTCTAGAACATTGTCCAGCTTGGTTAACCAGCCAGAGGAGAAAAGAAGGACAACAGCAGCGCCATCCTCGAACATATTGTCATCTCTGTACATCAAGCACGTCCACATGAATGCTTCACAATGCTACTACACAGAGTCCCTCAATATCGCACAAAGAGACTTCGCATACGCCATCTGAACATCGCTGAATCATTAGCTATTCGGGATTTGGAACCGGACCTCTGTATTCAAAAGCACTACTTACATTCACTCGCCCTACCGTGGCCACAGTAAAGTTATTACTTATTATGTAAGTTTACTATTATTATTGCTATTACTTCTATTATTTTATTGCCATTATTATTCCCATCAACCGTGTTTCATTACCATTCTATTATTGTTAATTAATAACATTGCGTTTTCATACAGGTTTTATATATGAAGACACTTTGTCGTCTTTCCACTAGTTCCTGTCCATTCTACACCAGCTTATTGATTAGTCATTATCTCACACTTATTACGTCATGCCAACTTCTGCCTCTTTTCTAACTTCCAATTAGTCATCCTTTCTAGGTTACACCTTACATTATGTAATACATTTTTCGAGGACAGAGTTTGCCAGTATCTGATTGGTCTAAAGATTTCTTTCTTTAATATAATTACAAGTATTGGTTTTTCTGGGTATTTAGTTTGATTGGTTGAAGGATTTCATCATGAGCTGACATCAGTTAGAGAATTATTGGAAAACCAGCACTACAGTACTGGACAGCTGTTTCCTCCGTCCTAGTTTGGGATTCTTCACCAGTACGCACCCACCACGCGCACGATATAATGAATTGGCAGAAGTTAGAGTTCATGGAATGACCACTGAATCGGGTCCCAGTGGCTTAATGGTCTACGAGATCGCTCGCCTTGTAACCAGAAGGTCCTGGGTTCGAATCCCAGTGGGGCGGGTGAGTACTGATGAAGGGTCCCAAACCAGTACTCCAGTGCTGGTTTTCCAATGGTTCTCAATGATGAAATCTTCCAACCAATCAAAAATAATCACGATTGTACAGCTTGTGAAAATGAATCGTCGTAAAGAAAATTTTCTTCTCTGTTTACCTCCTTTTCTCAATGACTCAATATGGGAATATTTCGTTCATTAAGAAACTAAACTCAGACACTTATGCTCAAAGATATCTCACCTCTTCACGTCTCACATTCACAAAATAACGACAACTCATCGAATTATTTGTTTATTCTCAAACGTTACACTTTAACTGAAAAAATAACTTTACAGAAACAATTTTTCAAAAAACAAATGCACATCGAAGTAAATAAGAGAGTAAAGAATTCTCTAAAATAAAAGGTTAATAAACTCTTCATGCTATTCGTCTAATTTCTTTTCCTGGCACAGGTATGACTTCAGGATCCTGCAGAAATTAGCCACGGAGCTCAGTCGTATTGCTCCTTAACATTCGACGAAGTCAACTGAAATCTAATTCCACCCTGTTTCATAGATCTCCGTATGATAGAATAGAAATGTCGTCTTTAGTAGATAGCAGAAGTTAATAGAATGTATTCCCTGGAAACAATATACCATCTCCACATTACTTATTATTATTACCATTGGAAAGAGGTGGAATAAGGCGTTGACACTCCTTTTCTTTGTAGTTTTTCTCATACTACTCATTAACTAATAAGTAGATAAAATCACTTTTTGAATTATTTAGGAAATCATCAGAATCATATAATGAAAGATCACTATTATAATATGTATAAGATATAGACGATCCTGAAGAGAAATTCCCACTATAACAAAATAGAAAATTTGCTATTTTTGTACAAAATGAGGCTGGATTTTTATGACGCAGCGTGTGTACTCTGCTACACGATGATGCTGATGCTGATGAAGACAATCCGTATGAATGATGCTCTAATACTGTTCTTGGGGCTAGAGTAGTACTGGTCATAGTCGAAGGAGCAGGAGGAGGAGAAGGAGGGGGAGTATTGTCACCTTCATGCTCTTTTATGCCTTCAGATAAGATATCTGAGTCCAATTTTTCAATATCACTAACATTTTGGTAATGGTCTAAACACTCAATTGGTATTTGCATTAGATACGAATTATTCAGGCACATAGAAGTTATAAGTTGATACATATGCGATTGATTAATGACTTTTTCACATCGAAGCATTATCCAAATAAGATTGGATTGAATTAATTCACTCAGATTACAGTGTAAAGCATTTCTATCACCGGTCCAGTTATCCCTGAGTTTATAATTCACTGGAGAATAATAAACTAAGCTTCTGATTGGTTGTTGATAATGACTAAGCAGCAAACTGTTGACCGAGGTGGTCAATCGTTTCCTGATAAACGGTATTACTGGCATACAACGCGAATATAGTTGATTAATGTCGACTGAGGCATCAAGAATTTGAATATTTTCAATTGATTGAAACATAAATGTCTGCAAACTATATTTCACTATGATTATTGGTAATATAAGTATAGAGATATCATCATTGTCAAATGAATCAATATTGGTTGGTTGTTCAAATGAATATTGAACACAGCCTTGTTTTAATTCAAGCGGTTTATTTAAATGATGATGAAGGTTATTACTAGTAGTAGTAGGAGGATAATTACGATTAATTAATGGAAGGAATACAGAAGAAACAGCGGGTAAATCCGATATATATTCCTGACTGTGTTGAATATAATGACTTATAAGGGAGTAACGATTTTCTGCTGCAAGCATTACATAGACGTCTGGAGAGATACTTGCTTCAAGAATTTGTTTCTTTGTTAGAAAGGCAGTGTTATATCTTTTCTGTTCCACAGGTGGTAATGAATGATGTCGCTTTTTATTTTGACTTAAACAAACACGATGTTCATGAGAGGAGGATAGTCGCTGATGCCTATTTAGGCTTCGTGAATCACGCTTACTAACAGACCTAGTGTTACTTGATTTCTTTTGTATATTTCTATGCTGTTTTTGTTTGTCTGCATGATGTGAGTACTTGGAATTCGATCGCTTCGGTTGACACGCTAAGGAGTGATAATGATGATGGGATGGTGTAGATGATGGATGAATTAAATTTTTAGACGCTGAACACTTTTTCGCACCCATTTTCTCTTGTTTCTTCAGTTCAGTGGACGATTTACATTTCACGTAAGCATCATATGTATGAACGTTCGTTAACTCACTACGCTGAAATGCATCCGTCGGTGATTTTGTCAAAGGAGTCCTTTTAGTCGATGTGTTTTTGACTGGTTTCAATTGATGTTTTTGTAGAATTTTACTACAGTTTCTGTCTTTTTCACCTTCATATAAACTCGGTTGTATTTTGCCATTCTTATGAAAGGTACTGGCTTCATTTAACTTTGTACTGCTCCTGTGACAATTCGTTTTAAGATTGTCGTGTAGGCTTGTAAAATTCCCCTGCGAAACACATAAAGAATTAGGCGATTCACTTCGATTACACATACAATTTACAGAAAGGTTTTCAGCTAACTTATCACACTGTATGATGATTAATTCATCTGATGTAACTCTTGGTATACTTCTCCCTAATTCATCGACTTTCAAAGCGCAAGGTGAATTGAATTGGCCACCGTTTTGCTTGACATTTGATGCATACAAGTCATCTGAATGAATATTTAGAAAGTGTGTTTCTTTATCACAAGGTATATATGGACTAGGAATTGTTGATATTGGGACAGGATATTTCATATCTTCAACAGTTAGAGATTCATCACTATCACTTAAAAGATTGCCATAGTTTGATAGATATGTATAAGAGTTAGGCAGTTCAAATGGTTCCTTGTTAAGCTTGCTGTATAATTTCATGTGATTTTGTAAAGGCATTCCACTGCGATGTATTTTTTTCATGTCATCATTTCGATTCATACTCCGCCTGCTTCTAATTCGATATAATTTATTCGGATATTGATATTTACGAAGTAGACATGAACTTGGCATTCCGTTATTCAGTTTCCCTGGTGAATAAGAGGCATTCATTAAACTCTGACAAGTCATTTCACGCATAAAATCTATACTGTGGGATAAACGCTTTTTTATTAGTGAATCCCATAGTTTAGCAGATGTTTGTGTACTAGATGTGCACTTTGTCTTATCTGTAGAAATATAATCTAGAGGAATTTCATCATTCAGTTGATGCTGATTACATAAATTCCCTGAAGATAGGTAAGGCATTTCACTTAGACTTAACTCGGAAATAGAATCTATAGAGGAATTCGACTCATACTTCATTATATATTATTATTATTATTATTACTGACGAGTTTTCATTCTAGGTATTATGTAATAAGCATGTTTAAGTGTGCATTGTTCCCAGGATTCAGTGAATAAATACACATAGTAGTTATAGCAAAAATCATGGTAATACTACTGAAATGAGTAGTTTCACGCTCGGAAAAATAATAATAATATTCGTTTGCATTATTCTCTTTGGTGTAGATAAAGCATTTGCATCATAGCATCTGCGAATCCTTTTATTCTCATCACATGATTCGTTTCGTTATAAGATAACATGAACTCAAGGCTGTTTAATGAAAAGACAATTTAAATAAGATTTATTGATTTTTTTGAGGTTGAAAGTATTTACTGCATTGTACTGTTAATTATTATATATTATTATAATTATTCAAGTATTGGTTTGTAGGGATTTGGTTGATTGGTTACAGGATTTCATCATGAGCTGACATTGGTTAGAGAACCATTGGAAAACTAGCTGTTTCGTCCTAGTTTGGGACTCTTCATCAGTACTCACCCACCGCCAGGGTTCGAACCCAGGACCTTCTGGTTACAAGGCGAGCGTTCTCGTAGACCATTAAGCCACTGGGACCCGATCCATTGGTCATTCCATGAATTTAAACTTCTGTCAATTCACGATATAGCTCAACCGCTAACCAATGTCTTCGATGAGTATTTGTCGTCACACCCGACCTGCTGCACCCTACTGGTCACGACTTCCCACTAGAACCCTAGGTAACTACTTACGTGAATAGGGCCAGTCTCCGCTAGTGAGCATCTCATTGATATTCAAGTATTTTAATTATTATTCCTTTGGGTTCCGTGTGCGATATAAGGCTTCAACTACACATCTCCACGTTGTGTTCTATTTTCTGCTATCCTCTTCATCTGGGTACACGACTGCCCATTATTTCGCATCTCCTCCTCTTCGCACGATCTCCTCTATGTCATCTTCACACTGACGATCCACTCGTCGCTTTCCATTGGGATTTCACTTGAGTGATGGCCTGCATTGAGTGAAATGTCATCCGACAGCCGGCTCTCGTGGCACAGTGGTTAGGACTCTCGCTGACCATGCACATGGTCCGGGGTTCGATCTCCTGCCGGCGCACACCCGATATCTATGGTCGGTCTGAACTTGGGCTACCGATATCCATGCTGAAAATTCCACACTTGTACTGAAAATGCGGTGTGGAATCAAGCTGTAAATCAAAATCAAAATAAAATAAAATGGCGTATGCCCGATCCATCTCCATTTTCTCCTGAATATTTGTTGAGCAATCGACTCTTGCTTGTTGGTTTGTTCATTGTCAGAGTTTCTTGTTGCTAATTCTTCCTGCCTGGCCAGCCATTTGATCTTCACTATGGAGCCAGCGAAAGTCTGCAGTGGCCTGTTGGAAATCCTTTTCGTTACACGCAGTGCAAGTTTCTGACTCGTACAGAAGAACTGACTGAATTCACATTGGTGTTGAAAATCCGAATCCTGTTTTTTATGCTGAGTGAGTGAAGCAGAAGATTTCCAAACTGGTTTCAGATTAGGAACGATAATAAGATTGTTATTTGAATTTTTTTGTTTTTTTTTAATATATATTTTTTGTGCGTTGAAGTTTCTCTAGCAGTTTGATAGGTTTCTTGGTGTAGGGTCGCTAGCCCCCAAGCTCAACCCTCCCATCCTACTTGGCAATGGGACCGGCTAGAAAAGTAGCAAGCAAGCTAGTTAAGTAGGTGGGGTTATTACATATAATTAGTATTCGATTTTCGCTTGCATTCCGAGTGGGAATACAATAAAATAGAATACTGGATAGGATTACTTTCTACATGCTACATGCTCTTATATTCACTAATTGATGTTAGCTCAGGATTAAACCCTCCATCCAATCAAACACAATCCCTACAAAATCAATACTTGAAAATTAATCTGATGCTCACTAGAGACTGGCCCTATTCAGGTAGTTAGTTACCTGGGGTTCTAGTGGGAAGCCGTGACCAGTAGGGTGCAGCAGGTTGAAGGTGAGTCAGTAACTCATCGAAGAAGACATTGCGAATTGGTCGCGCTATGTCATGAATTGGCAGATGTTAGAATTCATGGGCTGGCCATTGGATCCAGTGGGTCCCAGTGAGTGGCTTAATGATCTAAGGGCTAGCTTGCCTTGTAACCAGAAAGTCCTGGGTTCGAACCCTGGTGAGTGCGTACTGATGAAGAGTCTCAAACTAGGACGAAACAGATATCTGGCAGTACTGGAGTGCTGGTTTTCCAGTGGTCCTCTAACTGATGTCGGCTGATGATGAAACCCTCCATCCAATTCTAAGAATTATTGAACAAAATTTGTTTATGAATTTCAATGAACAAGGGGACTCTGTTAACGAATCAGACAACAACCCATTGTCCAATAAATATGCAAAAGGAAATGCAGACGGATTAGACATATACACTGAAGAGACTGTTGAATGACATCACATATGCCATACAGGCCTTTGAATGGAAGGAGAGTGAGATGGCAGCTATTTGCACATGCGTCCTAGCATGACATGAAGGAGATCCGGGGAAGAGGATATATGAAAGATTATGGGCAGTTGTTGAGACAGCCATAAAAAAGAAGAGTTCAGAGAATAAAGCGAAATGTTGATTTCCTGGTGAAGCTAAATGTTCCGCTCAAACCTCAGGAGAATAATAATAAACCTTAACGAGACTGAAATTGAAAATTCCAAAGTTTCATTCCCTTAACTGATCTGAACTTCTTCAGGGAAATAATCAAAATTAACACATCCAATTATTTTTCACGAGTTTGACCACGGACTGACATCAGTTAGAGAAGCATAGGAAACCGACGGGCAGCACTGAACAACTGTTCTATCCTACTTTAAGAATCATTGGCAGTACGTACCCACCGGGTTTCGAACCCAGGAACTTCTGGTTACAAGGCAAGTTAGCTCGTATACTATTCAGCCACTGGGACCCGATTCAATGGTCAGTCCATGAATTCCAATTTTTACCAATTCGTGATTTAGCGCGGCTGGCACCAATCAATCGGTGGTCATCGGTGGAAATCCATCCTCACACGTGACTGGTCACAACTTTTCACTAGAACTAACTCCAGGAAACTCAGTCCTGTCACTAGAGAGCATCAGATTAATTTTCTATAGTTGGTTTGTAGGGATTAGTTTTGTTTTTTACGAGTTTTTACTATCAATCCGTAATCAACTCGTATACATAAAACTAATCCTTACAAACCAACTATAGAAAATTATTATGATGCTCGCTAGTGACTTGCTACAGGATGAAGTTACCTGGAGTTAGTTCTAGTAAGAAGTCATGACCAATGAGGTCCATCCAGTCAAGTGTGAGGATGGATTTCCCACCGATGACGTTGGTTGGTGCCAGTGGTGCTAAATATCAAGAATTGGTGGAAGTTAGAATTCATGAGGTGGCTATTGGGAAGTCGGGTCCCAGTGGCTGAATGGTTGCCTTGTTTGAACTGTGGCAGTGGGTGCGTACTACCGATAATTCCTAATCAAGGATGAAACAGCTGTCCAGTACTCCAGTGGTGATTTTCAATGGTTCTCTGACTGATATGAATCCGTGATCAATTCGCAAAAAAATAAAAATATTTCTAAAATGAATTTATAATTATTTTACTCAAAATCTGTTAAAATCCTTATATTTTGAAGAGTTAGTTTACACGTATTTCATTTGTTTTTCCAAGTTTTATCATAGACTGATATCAGTTTGACAACCATTGAAAGCCAGCACTGGACTACTGGATAGCCAGCTATTTCATCACCCTAGTTTGAGACTAATTGACAGTACGCACAAGCCACTGGGTTTCTAACCCAGGACCTTCCGGTCACATGGCGAGCAAGTAGACCACTGAGCCACTGGGAACGAACTCCTCATTAGGCAGTCAGTGAATTCTAACTTCTACCAATTCGTGATTTTAGCGCGACTGGCGATACCAGCCAATTTGTCATCACTGGCGACTACCAAGAAATCCAGCTAAGTAGAAAACCTTGACAAACCGTCAGCCATAGCTCGTCTACACGCTATAGAACCAGGCCACAAAATTGATTGTGACAATATTGAAATAATCCAGAAAAATTTCAGAAATCACAAAGAACGTCTAATATCATCAGTAGCACTTCATATCAAGTGGAATCGCAGTTGTCTGAACTGGATAGGAATGATGGACTAAAACAGAATTTGACCTGGTTACAACTCCCCGTTCCCCATGAAATGACAAAATCAACACCAATCTGATAAGCAATTTCATTACGTAAACCCTCGCTGCTTTTATAATTTTCCACACTTATCAAATCCAACAATCTACACCTGGTTTTGTTATCTTCACCAGTTGGCCAATTTGACAACAGAAAAATAACCCCATGCTGAGGAACGTTGATTAATTTCTTATACATAAGCTGAGATTTTGTAAATTCTGGTTTAATGATACTTTGATAAATCTATTAGCAATAAATAGCAAAACGCCATTAAAAAATATCGTTATGTTTTTCATTCATTGGGAAATACAAAGAAAACCTTTATTATAATGAATATATCACATACGTAATGCCGATTACCTTCAACCATCTAATGTTATGGAATTTTTTGGAAGTATATATAATATGTTCATAATTACTAAGCACTACTCAAATTTATAAACCCGCTTATATTGCTTCATCCATCTTATGAAAGTAATTTTTGTAAACTACCACAGTTACATTCTCCATGCTATCTATTATTTCTGTGACTCCCTAAATAAATATCCGTGGGTTTTAAAGGATTATGAAAAACTTTAGAGTGGGTTTTCTTTTTACTAAACTATATCAATTAGAAAACCACTGAATGTCAGGGAATACTGGACGGCTGTCTGTTTTTTAATCCTAGTGTACACCTCTTCACTAGTGGGCACCAACGATTTCACCACGGATAGAACCTGGGATTATTAGATTTCGTGTCGAGCCTGGTGATCACTTAGACACTAAAACGAACCAGTCCCGCCGACGCACCTCCGCGTTACATCAGATACAATCGACTTCACCAACTACAACTTCTCATCAGAACTATAGGACATCTATTCTGTTACGTCATGAGTTGAAAAAAAGTTAGAAATCATGAATCGTTTGATTCTCACTGACTACTTGAGTGGTCAATGGCCTCACCCCACTACCTGAACATCCTATACCCCAACCTCTGGTGTGGTCGTTGCTGAACGCTGCTGAAGAGACTTAAAGAATGATGAGACAAATATCCAGTGCTAATAGATGTCTGTTCATTGCAAATTCCCTTGATTATCTTATGTGCAATATCTCTCAATCATCACCTAACAAAGTGCGTTGGTGGCACAGCGGTAAAACGCTCGACAACCACGCCACAGGTGTTTTGGGGTTCGATCCCCGGCCAATGGACACACTCCTTTACCTGGCTAAGCTAGTAATAACACTGGTAAAGAGGGAGGGATGGGCATGAGGCAGCTAGCGATCCCATCCCGTAAAAGTAAAACGCCGCTGCCACTGAAACTTCAAGCCTCTAGCTTGAAGCCCCCTTTGTTCCTTCGACTGGGAATGTAAACGAATAAAAAATAAACACCTGACAAGCACTCTTTTTCATTCCCATGCTTTCCGACTGGAACGTAGAGTTTCAAGCTCAACCCTTCCGTCATTTCCCGGCTTACTATCAACTAATGGAGGTTTAAAAGTGCATCGACATGGAATCGGACTTCAGATAGCCGACATGATGGCAATCAAGCATTCTGACTGACTGACTGGTTTCAACATTGAACTTTGCACCGATGTGCAGAAGTTCAAGTCGCAACACTCTATATAGCACACAAAGAAAAAGAAAGTAAAAATAAATGTAAAATAGAGACAGTAAACAGAGATATGAGGCAAAAAGAATAGTAATATCACAAGGAGTGGATGCATCTGCATCATCATCGAGAACGGTTTTGAGCCATATCACCGACTGTATCCAGCCACCGTCATTGATTTTTACCGTCCCGAGGACCCGAACCAGGAAGTATACACCTGCCTACGTGACTGGCTTAAACTAACTGTTATGGATTTCATTGACTGGTGAAGACATTTTTTCGTTTGACCACCAGGTGCTAGGTCCTTTCCAGTCTGATCCTATGTCAGCTAACATTGCTCGTTGTTGAGGAAGGCGATTGCTAGGCTAGGCATGCGCAGTAACTCATGTCCTAACCATCTCAGTCAGTGTTGCTTCACAGCCTCGTCGATTGATTTTCCCTCCTTACCTAGCACTCGACGCTCAACCTCAATACTGCTCACCCTGTTATACCACTTCACATAGGAGACAGAACGCAGGCACCTATGGTCAAATACAGAAAGCTAGCCTTTTCATGTCTTCCGCTCTCAATAGCTTTTTATCAGAAATCAGCCAATGGTCCAAGAAAAACGGTCTAACCTTAAATCCCTCTAAATGCCAAACAGTCAATTTCACCTTTAGGCATAAATCTGACCTAAACAAACTGGTTAGCACTCACGAGGTGTGCAACATAGATGGCACTGAAATAGAAATCAAGTCTGAAATTAAATATCTTGGCGTCATTCTATCTGTTGATCTTTCCTGGTCGTCTCATATCTTGATGATTTCTAAGAAAATATTCCGTCTTACCTTCTACATCAAAAAGTTAAGACATTCTGGAATAACCCAACCCTTACTCTTACGATTCGTTAACTCTTGCATCCTGCCTATTATTCTCTATTGTTCCCCCTTAGTTTTTCCAGGGCTACTGAAGAAGGACTATACCTTATTACGCAGGATGTTAAAGGTTGTCAGCAGGGTAAGCGACGTGCCACTTAACCAGCTCGTTACTATTCTGGTCGACAGGCACTTGGACTCATGTGAAAAATGGGCTAAATCCATTCTGTCTAACTCACAACACCTTCTTCATTCAAAACTCTCCCCTTGTATCTCATCAGGCAGAACCAGAAGCCTATATAGAAAAATATATACTCTCACTAGCTAGTACAAAAACTCAACCATACCCTCCCTACTTGGCTCATGTTCTGTGCGATAAAGAAAGCATTAGGCGTGAAACTTATAATTCATTAAATAGTCAGTATAACAACTGGATCTCGTCTTTCCAACTCATATCATTTATAGGTATAACGTTTTCTCTCTTTCTTTTCCTTTTTTTCTCTCTCTTTTTTTCTGTTGTGTGCTGCTTTGTTTCTTTCTTCCTTAAAAACTCTATTTAAAACATTCTTCTTTGTTCTTTCACACTCTGTATATCTCGACCTTTTTGTTACCACTTACGCCAGTAAATATGCTAGCATCTACTCTTCTAACACCTTCAAACACTCTGTTCAATTTTGGCTTTGCTACCGACATGCCAATATGTTGTTGTCAAAACTAACTGAGATTACCCTTAATCTATGTAGAATTTTATTTATTGTTAATGTACTAACTGGATGCAATACTGTAGTAAAAATGCTGAGAATTCCATTCTGTATCACAAGTACTATTTTGGAATAAAGCAAATTATTATTATCATGTCTCACTTGCAGCCAGCCATAAAGGAGGGCAGAACGGACTGCTGAGCAGTACACAAATCAAGCATTCTACCATTGCACCACTGAAATCCACAAAGCACACTACTTATCCCTTATTACCCCATTTGAAATACTTTACATTAAAAAGAAAAATAACCAATACGTTACAGTGGAAAAAATTTCTTTCTATTATTTCGATGTTAGAAAGGTAAGTCAATCTTTTTTTTAATTATTCAAACAAATTGTTTTAGGAATATTTATTTGATGAAACAATATTGTTTTTCTTTCTTTCTTTCTCTTCTAATGTTGTCTTATGCATTTATTTTCCATTGTACAAAACTGAAAAGAAACCATTATTCTCATTGACTATTGAAACAATTCAATTGAACATTGAACGTGATGCGTGTTACACATTTGAAATTTATGCAACAGATAAATCGATTAGGACAAAATAAGTATTAGTAATGTCTGACCTTCATATAATAAATGTTAGATAATATAAATCACTGTAGGCGTGTTGATAAAATAAGGTAATTTTGATTGACAATATGGGTTTGTTGGTTTCTTGGGTTGTTTTTTTTACAGTTTGTTTCTCCTTTTTTTCCTAAAATCTAAGTATTTTCTGAATTTTCCTCAGAAACATGATAGGATGATGTATTTGTTAACAGAGGACTGACCATCTGTGTACTGTCTGACTTCATTTGCTCAGAAATAAGTTTCGAGGAAATGTTCTCTTCTGCGTCAAACTCATTTTGACTAGCCTTCATAGCCTTTTGCCTTGTCGAAAGATCATGATTCTCGGTATCAGGAAGACCTTGATTCATCTCCTGAACTACATTCTCTGGTGATGATGCATTAGGTTCACCTGCAGTCAACTTGTTCTGAGCGCGATTACTGCCAGCAGATAAAGCAGAAGAACACCTTGAAGGCGACATCACCTCAGACCATGGCCAGAACCGTATCTCTGGTGAAACACACTTCGAATCAAATAAATCACTTGTGGGTAGTGGAGATGGAACAAAAGGTGGATATTTCTCATCATCTGTTTGACAAGAGTATTGAGAGGCAAGATTAGCGAAATGCTCTGTTGCCGCTTCAACAGCATTTGTGACCAGCATTCCTTTAGAAATTGACATACAATCCGTTGGCATAGATAATGACCATGGCCAAAGATTAGCTTGGATCTTGTAGCTGGTTGATTCCTCGCCTTCTTCTTCTTCTCCTCGTTCACCTCCTTCTTCTTCTTCTTTTAGATCGTCTTCACCAGTTGAAAACAATCTCGCCAAAGCCTCTAGTTCCGCCAGTTCTTCTGGTGTAAGCCTGTCAAACGATTTAGTCAACAGTTTGCATAACCTGCGCTTTGATTTGTAAAGCGGATTCGATGGGCTGGTAATTTTTTCATCTAAATTCTTAGGCACAACTTTCAGTAGATTAAACACCTTTCTTTGATGTGGAGAAAGTTGATCAGGTTGTGATTGAGATAAAAAATTGTGCAGTTTAACTTGAGTAGACACTTTTCCACCTCCTGCAGCTGATTGTAGCTTCTTTTTCTCGATTAGTTGGTTGAGCAACTTTCTCTCCTCGTCTGTAAGCTCTTCACTTGGCTTTGATTGCAATCGCTTCAAAGTTTCTTCTTGTGATGTAGATAGTACTTTCGACTTGTCAATAGTCTCCTCTTCATCGTGTTGCCTACGTGATTCTCTTACAAGTTTTAATTCTTCACTTAATTTACTCTTTGGTTTTGTATATCTTCTCTGTTTACTCTTTTTATGGTGTGGTGGAAGACTGCCTTTCCTGAGTTTATCAATCAGCTCTGGTTGTTCGTCTAATTTAGATAAACTTTCGTCTTTTTGTTTAGATGGTCTTTGCTGTTGTTCTTGTTGTTGCTGCTCCTGCTGCTGCAGTTGTTGTTTTGTTCTGCTCTCGTCGCGTAAAGTAATACTCTCATCTGTTGCATCCACAGTGATTTGTTGTTCATCTGAAGGTAATGTGGTATACGAGGACAATGCAGGTGTTGTTGAAAAAGCATCCAGATTTCCAGATACTTGAAGCAAGAAATCATAATCTTCTATTGTGTCAGTCGATTGTACATGGTCGTAGTGATCTTTTTTCACTTTCTCTTCTGATGAAATAACACTGGGATAAGATTTCTCCTTAGGTACCTTGTCATCTAATTGCTGAGCACTAGGTAAGGTTAGCTTTTCTGATGATTCGAGATGTTCACTTTCTGAGCGGATTTTGTGTGAATCATCAATTGATCTTTGAGGTATAATGCTTTCTGAAATCTGATCTGATAATTTTTCTTCTATAGGGGCTTGAATTTTTTCCACCTCTTTAACATCACTTGTAACTGGAATAAATTCAGTTGACAATCGTTCGGCAGCGGCGGCGGTCGTGGCCGTTGTCGAGGTGGTGGTGACGGTGGCTTGAGAATGCTGTGCATCAGATCCTGCCTTTTTCTTTGCTTGTTTCGCCTTCAACTTAATATATTTCGACGTGATAGGCAATAAATCGCCTTCTTCTTGGTCTTCTTCAGAAATGGAATCATGACTCGGCTTCTGACGTTTCATTTTGTCATCCAATTCTAGTGGTTCTTGAGTTTCATAAATTGGAACAGTTGTAGGCGTTTCTTGATCGTATAGTAATTTGTCTAATCTAGTTTCTGCCTCCATCTGTGGTCCACCTTCACTCATAGGTTCGACTTTACCAACATCCCTCGTAAATTCACCTTGTTTTATAGTATCTTCATGTGACACTGTAGAAATCTTTTCAGCGTGTGATTCAACTTCTTCCACGGTTGGCTGTTCCAATACATCTTCTTGTACTTTCTCTTTAACATCTATCATATCTTTGAGTGGAATTGATTGTTTATCATCGGTCTGGAGCTTCAATGCCTCATCATCTCCTACCAGTGTAGGCGCAGATTCATCGGTTTTTAATTCACCTGGAGTAAGTATTTGACTATCAGAGAATCCAATAGAAATGCCCTGAAGTTCTCGTTTACTGTCTACTTCTCCAGAAATTCTTTGATCCACCTTTCTACTATCAACTCTTTTTACTGAATATCTAGATAGTAATGTTGTAGATATTGATGGTTTCTGGTAGATATCATCGGGCTGTTCTTCATCTAGCGGTAAATTTTCTATTGATTTCTGACTTTCCATACTTTTAACTGATGATAGTGATATTCTGGACAATTCAGGTATCCCAACTCTTGATTGTTTCATTGAAATCTCTTGTCTGTCAGTCGCGTCTATCATAGTTGTATCTGGTTTTGTATACAAATTATCTGCTGTGTCAATTTCTTCTAGTGGATATTTTTCATCGTAAATTTGACGCCGACTTATATCATCTAATACTGCTTGTAGGTTAATTGATCTACGTGGAGATTGGCGGGTTTCTTCTTTCAGTTTATCAGAATCCCCGTGAAGAATTTGAGCAATTATTTCTTCTAAAGATGAATCAATGGTAAAAAGACTACCTGGTTTTGCATATTTTCTAGAATGATCCCTTTCCTTTAAAGTTTTCATTGCTGAAGTCTGTGAAATAGCTAATTTCAAGAGGTTAGATGTTGAGAGAGCAATAAATTCAGGGACATCTTTATTAAGCAGTTTTCCAATAGGATAATTTCGTCTGATTTCATTTTCATCAATCCATTTGCCGGCAATATCTTCAAAATTTGCCACGGTGTCTATCTGATATCGACTGACGATAGGTTTCTTACGTGGGTGTTTAGCTCTTTTGATTAGCGTGGGCGATAGTTTGCTTTTGTTGGCGGTACCAGTGGGAGTGGTGAATCGGCCATCATATAATCCTGCATAATATGGACTATATCCATCAGCGCATAAATTCTGATAACCGGTGAATTTAAAATTATCAATTTTTTCATCTTGGTCTACTAAAGAATCGTTAGATGATAGATAATTATGTGGTCTACTAGTGTGAGGCTTTTTATTATTGTTATTGATATTACTGTTATTACTTCTAAGCGTATAGGTTTGTAGTGGCTGACTCACTGAAGACTGCCTTTTATCCCCTTCACCGCCATACAGCTGATTACATAATTCCTGTGTCAGTAAGGTATTCTTCTGTTCATCAGTTGCATTTATATCATTTCGAAGATTTGTACAATATTGATTTTTTAGAGATATATTACTTGTATAACAGTAGTTATCCGTTGACTGCAGATTTGGTAAATTCCGATTTACAAAATGTGGTCCATTTACACTTTTACTATTATCACCATGGTGATTATCATGTAGAGTTTGAAAACCTCCTGATTTATTTCTTTCAAACGCGATTGGATTTAATACATCCTTGTTGTATACAGACTGATGGAGTCGTTTACATTTTCGGCGGTTTATTGGACTGCCAAATTGGGCGATGTGTTTAACGGTTCCCCTGTGAGATGAAATCAAGTCGCTACTAGCAGGTTTATGCTTTCCATTGGTAATACTGCCTTCCTCTTGATGCTTTCTAAGCCATTTATTATTCGAGCTCAGGAATTCTTTACATTCTCTATGTTGAAAGTTGTCATTCGCCTGCTTACCATTAGCATTATTATTATTGCTTACTGTGAAGAGACTAGGTGTCTGTTTTCTTTCCACATCTGATGTCGGATAGATGTAATCCTGATTGTAGGGATAATCTTTGTAATCTGAAAGTGTATCATTTATCCTTCTTCTCTGGAAATTTATCTTTAAAGATGGACGGTTAATTAACGGAGTGAATAGTTTGCTACGCATTTGTGTATATGCGATAACTGGTTCAGTCATTTTCAATTTATTGTTCAAGTCAGATTTTGATTGGTTAATAGAATTGATCGCCATCATGTTGAAATCTTCTGTGGATTCACAGCTTTGTAATCTATCTTCTACACTTGACCCATTTACATTATTGTTATTACTGTCATTCAATGAAATACATAAAGTTATATTATCCTCATTTGTATTATCCACTGGTTTGTACAAAATTAAAGAAGCATAGTTAACGGATATTGAAACATTGAATAATTGGTGTAAATTAAATATTTCAAGGTCACACTGTTCGTTATGATAACATCTATTGAAATTAACATAATCCAACAGTTTTTCAATAACTTTTAGGAAATTATTTCTGGTCACAATATGATTTGAAGATAACTGTTGATGAAGAGTATTCTTATGACTGATAGAATATGAAGATTTGGTTAATTCGGTTTTTATTTTTTCACTTAGACACGGAAAGTAAGTGTGTTCTTCAACTAAGCGATGACTTACAATTGCGTGCATTATATCATAGATTAGCTTGTCAAATTGATCATTACTGATGTGAAGGTCTGTTAGGAATTTATTCACCAATAGAAGGCATTGCATTTTATTGATTACCTAAATAGTATAAAAGACAAAGTTAAACAATAGCGTCCCAAGGGGATGCGAAAGAACAGTCACAGGCCAGCCTTTGTCTTTTGATATTCGCGTGGCTCAGTGAATCGGAAGGTACAACGGACAAATAGGCGTATTAGCATACCAGTCGAGTTCATTACCGTTATTACCAATTAGCAGGCGCAGACATAACAGTTCCTCACCACAATTGGACTGCTGGTCTACCTAAGGCAGCTGGTAAAGCCTTGATTCCAAATCTATGAGGAGTGCATGGGCTCCAGAATCCGAACACTGCAAAGTTCTACAATAGCGTCTCAAGGGATGCAAACGCACGAGTGACCTTGAGCCGACCAACCATAAAAGTAAGTGATTTTGGAACAGGGAAATGCATGAAAACACTCTAAACAGGGTATATTTCTATGAATTGACTTAAAAATACGTCCCAGGTGTAGTGAGGAGTATCAGTTTTTAAGTTAGATCAGTTGCTGTATATGTATTCACCGAGGTGAGCTTTATTTGACTGGTTTATCGCTCTTATCCCGTTTTGCAGTCTTGCCCCAAAGCCCTCGGTTGAATTACTATGGTTTCCAGTAAGAGGTTCGACGGTTACTTACTGGGAAAATGTGAATAATAAAACAAATTAAAATACTTAATAGTAACCCTAACCTTAATCCTAACCCTAATTAAAACGTATTGATGTGCATCTTCCTTGATGGTTCGGAAAAGGTCAAATAAAATCTATAAGAAGTTATATTTTAACTCATTTGATTGATGATACCGGTCACCAAGTGGACATCTATCTCGCATTCCATCGAGCCTTTCGAACGGAATTCGAACCCCTCCCATTTAATACATAGCCAAAGCTGTGTGAATTTGAGACAGCAATCCTAGTTTTTTCATACAAAAGAAGATTGTTCTAGCTTTGTCGACCTCCCTTGCTTCGCCTAGATAAATTCTATTCAAAACCCACCCACCCTTTCTTATTTTCCAGTTCCTTCGTACTTTTATGATATTTATTTGAACTCTGATTACCAGAACACTCAGACGACACACACGAAACAACATCGACTCCATTCAATCACGCGTCCCTGAGCTAGAGCGAAACGTCTACTCAAGAGCTCATGCAGTCGAAGACTTAGATCAAGAACTACGCCATTCCTTCGAAGAATATGTACAACAAGTCACTCAGAAAGAATGTAACAAGACTAAAGCAGATCTTCTCAAAAGCCTAAAGCCTACAATTAATACCGAATCTCCGTTCCCAAGCAATCCAGAAAAGTACGTATTCAATCTTTCAGACATTACACTGTCTACTACTCAACTAGAGGCACTATCTCTAGGTCCAAAATTCTGCGTAAAACCACCAAGTATTGACAAGCTACAATGCCAGGTTCAGTTCGAAAATCTAATAAACCAAACTTACGATCTCACACCTACATCAGACGAAAACCTACAACAATTCAAAGCATCAATCCTCGACTGTTGTCACAAGTTTATAAATACCAAACACAACGGAAGGTCCATCTTGACGAAGAGGCACTATAAGGAGCTGAAAGAACTTATGAAAAACGAAGAGATTATGATATTACGTCCTGATAAAGGTGGAGGAATCGTAATCATGAATCGCAAGGACTATATCAGTAAAATGCTGACTATACTATCTGATGAATGCAAATTCACAAAACCGACCAACGAGAAAAACATGACTGAACAGACCGAACAAAAGCTAACGGACACCCTTCGTAAGTTGAAGACTGAATTCTTCATGAGCAACGAAATGTTCGAATCCCTTAGACCGTCTGGCTCAAATATACCACGACTTTACGGACTCCCGAAAGTACACAAGAAGGGTATCCCTCTCCGACCGATCCTCGACATGACCAATTCACCCTATCACCGCACAGCTCAATGGTTAGCAGATCTACTTGAACCAATCAGAAAACAAGTTTCCTGCCACACAGTTCGAGATTCATTCGACTTTACTGACTCAATCGAAAACATTAACGTATCCAGCAAGACAATGATTTCATTAGATGTCACATCACTATTCACAAACGTTCCACTGACTGAAACAATATGCTATATATGCGAACTTATTCACTCCAAAGGAATAAACATCGGTATACCCACCGAGCATCTTAAAGAACTCCTACTGAGGTGTACCCTGAATGTTCAATTCTCTTTCAACAACGAAATATATCGCCAAAAGGATGGTGTAGCTATGGGCTCACCACTAGGCCCTTTGCTTGCAGATTTCTTCATGGCAAAACTCGAAAACACATGCCTGAAGAAAATGATCAATACCTTCGAAATCTATAAAAGATACGTCGACGACACCTTCATTATTGTCAACAACGAAGAAAATCTAGACGACATCTTAAAGTCGTTTAACAACTGCCACCCTGCAATTCAGTTCACGATGGAGAAAGAGTCCAACTCCACAATATCTTTTCTTGACGTCCAACTAACCAGAAGAGAACAGGATGGAACACTGAGAAGATCTATCCACAGAAAATCGACGTGGAACGGACAGCTTACTAACTTTCACAGTTGGGTACCACTATACACCAAACGAAACCTGATCCGTTCACTCAGCTACAGAGTTCGCAGAATCTGCACCCCGGACACCGTAGAAGATGAACTGGACAACCTCAAGAGAATCCTCGTCGAGAATTGCTATCCAGAAAGATTTATTGCAAAATCTATGAATCCTAGACCAGAAAAGCCGCCCATACTCAGCGTCAAGAAAAAACTACTCTACATGAACCTCCAATTCAATGGAGATCTATCTGCGGAAACACTAAAAAATCGACTGTCGCGCTCACTTAAGAAGACCTTCTTCGCAGCTGAACTAGGACTAACCTTCTCCACAAAACCTATGATTCATGTGAACGTGAAGGATAAGCTACCGCTGCTAGGCTCATCAATGTGCATTTATCAATTCACCTGCTCGTGTGGAGCCAGGTATGTCGGCCGTACCCAGCGCTCGCTTTCCAAACGTATCACCGAGCACTTACCAGCATGGTTTTACAAAGGAGAAAATCGACGCCCCGCAGTTCCATCTTAGAACATCTGATAGAATCCGGACACCAAGCTACACCCCAAACAAACTTCAAAGTCGTCTACAGAGTAAGAAGTAGTCCCCTAAAGGTGTACGAATCAGACTTCTTCAAACTGCAGAAGCAATGGCGATTCACTCGCTAAGTCCTGAACTCTGCATACAGGAGAAGTTCGTTCAATCACTACACTTGCAATGGACGTAATCTATCTTATTAGCCGACATGTAAATTCTACCTAATCTTTTCTTCTGTCTCTTCATTAGTATTATTTTGTCTTCTCAATTGTAACATTTTACATTTTCAACTTTCTTGTTCTCTACCCCCACCCGATTCAATCTCTACACCCCACTACCACTGTTACTGACTTGAACAACGCTCAGTTTCTAGTCATTCATGTTACGTCATCCAACTTATTCACTCAATTTCACTTCTACTTAATCTCTACCTGTAATTACCTCTGTTGCTATCCTGACCTAAGTTGTAATATTTTAGTCAATTATATTACGTCATCTAGTTTTTTAACTCAGTCCTACTTTAGTTGCTGTCTGATTAACTTTGTCTCTTAACTAATCAATTATCTAAACTTGACAAACCTCATGTACACACACACACACAAATATTTATATATAAATGCGATTGTACAGCTATGTGAATGAATTCGCCAAAAAGAGTCTCTTTGCTGAACGTCTTCTCTTTTTCATATGACTCAATGGGGATTTTCAATCTACTCTGATTATCTGTCCACTTCACCTTTAGTATTACATAACTTTTAAGATTTGACCTAATTTATTTATTGAATTGTCTACATATACGCACATTACTATCTTTGTTATTCTTATCGCCACCTGCATAAACCTGATTATCAATATTTTGTTACCATTATAATCATCGTTATTAACTAAGTTCAAGATAATAAGCTGCTTTAATTGAAATAGAGGCAGGGCCATTATCGTTACCTGTATCTTCACGCTTAGCACTACACGCTAATTTAGTTGAATTGAATCCTGAACTCTGCATACAAAAGAAGTTTGTTCAGTCACTAAATCTACAATGGTCCTGATCTATCTCAACACCAACTACGTAATTTTGTCTTACCTCTTTCTTCTTTGTTTGTCTGTTTCTTAATTACATTAAATCTCTACCCTCATGACGACTGTTGCTGACTCCATTTTCGTTTATTTTTAAGTGAATTCTACTCAGATTATTAACTTAACTCTCATTCATTTTTCATTGAACCCTAGCAATTAGATTACGTCACCCAACCTACTTTTGTAACTTTATTTTAGTTTCTAACCGATTAACGCCTTCTAAATTACGTTATTTGTTGTCAAAAATTAACAATTGCATTAACACATCTTTGGAAATATTCCTTTTGTTGCCAAGAAAAATTTAGTTGTTAGTTTTTTTTCTATAGTTTGGTTTGTAAGGGTTAGCTTTGTTTTTACGAATTTGACCACGGAGGACTGATATCAGTTAGAGAACCATTGAAAACCAGCACTGGAGTACTGCCAGATAACTGTTTCATCCTAGTTTGGGAGTCATCGGCAGCACGCACCCACCACTACAGTTCGAACCCAGGACCTTCCAGCTACAAGGCAAGCTAGCTCGTATACCATTCAACCACTGGGACCCGATTCAGTGGCCAGTCAGTGCATGAATTCTAACTTCTACCAATTCGTGATTTAGCGTGACCACCAACCAATGTCATCTGTGGGACATCCATCCTCACACGTGACATCTGGATGGACCACACTGGTCACGACTTCTCACTTTTTTGATTACAGTGTGCTGGTGTGATACAGACAATGTCTGCTAAAGGAATATTATGCTCACATATTCTCACAGTTCAATACTGCATACAATATATCTGTTTGAACATTCAATTTGATGTTAGACAGAATACATTTCTCACGGTTATATACTGCATTATAA